GGCACTAATTGAACCCAGGTTAATAATTGACTCTCCAAGTAATGAATCTGGCCCCCCAAAAGAAGTCCCTTCAGATATGAACTTGCCTGACCCTCAGCTGTGAATACAGTATGCTTGAACTGTGTGCAAATGGTTTTTGAAGGATTTTTCTTCAGTTTCTGAAGACGGCGTATACATATGCTTTTTTTAAATAAAATATTATAACATGAAAATGATGTTGAGGGGATGTATGTCATATATTAATGTCTGGTATGGTGTCTCGGAAACTTGATGCAATCAAGGACCATTAATGAATGCTTGGAAAATGCAGAGACCAGCTAAATAAACTTAAAACTCTCCCTTGTCTTCCTCTTTTAAGCATGTAGGTGTGCACATTTTTTGACAAATAAGTAATAAAAAGAAGCTTCTTGGATGAGAAGCAAAACGTCTTCAAAGAAAAAACAAGAAAGCCCAACTGCCTCCTGAAAAAGCACCTTTGGGACAACCATGACCTGGATGACTGAGAATCTCTACAGATGTTCACATTCCTGTTTGTATTAGGAATGAAGCCTCTATGTTCTGTTCTTGTGAGCCAGCTGGCTATCAGAACATTGGTGGGGAGTGGGCATAGAAAATAGGTTCTCATCAGCTGTTAGTGTACACAAAGAGATGAAGCTGAAGATGTGAGTATTCTCTGGTCTGTTGATGTGAGCAGGTTGCACCAGACCGCCTAAGGGCCCTCTGGGCTCCCCAGTAGGATCATTGGTTAGTGTCCTTCTCTTTAGTGGACGGTATAGCAGTCGACAACCATGATCTCAGTGGCCACCTGAAGGAGTGCTTGGTTGACTTTAAGAATTGGTCCTTGCCTTTTGAGGTAGCTGCCTTCTCAGTAGCAGCCCCACCATGATCTGTGCAACACAATTCTCCCTGAGCTCTGTCAAGGAGAACCGTCCTCCTAGCCTAAAAGATTGGCTTTCCCCCAAGGCCTAGGGTGAGGCTAGAGCCCTGTGGTTGTGGTTTTTTTTTTTTATGTACTGGGGAATGTTCGTGTAAAGCACCGGGAGTTGCTCTGATATGAAATGAGTCAGACAAATTGCTATTTGGATAAGAAAAATAACATGTGTGTCATAACTTAGTCATAACTTACCCTGAGAGCTCAGTTTCCTTTTTTAAAAAAAGCATATCAGTATGCTTCTATGTTCAAATGGAGATATAAAAGGAAGCAATCTTCATGTTCTAGCGTGGACTTTGGAAAAAAAAATGACTCAGAAAAGAAGGTATTCCTATATTATTTAAAACAGTGGTTCCCGACCTTTTCTATGCCACACACCCCTAGGAAATGGTTGTTTGCACTCTCCACAAAAGTTAATAAAGGGACACGAGCCACTAGTTGTCACAAACCCTGAAATTCCATCTTGCACCCCCTAGGTGTGCAGGCACCCCAGTTTGGCAGCCACTAATTTAGACAAACGGGACATGTTCATTGCTTTAGCTATGGGGTCCATCTCAGATATTTGATATCCGGTACGTTATATAGATCAGGCATTCCCAGAGTGGTAGCACTGTACAATGGAAACATTATTTCCATCCCGTCCTTATTATTTTTATAAATAATTAAAGGGAATGAGTTGGTGCTCTCTGAGCTTAATTGGTTCTCTTTGCAGATGCTTCATTACCCAAATTGACATAATGATTTTTGTTTTTTGCAAGAAAGCAACCAAGCTCCAGAGAATGTCCGCGACCTCTTATTTTAACCCTGAGCTACAAATATTCTCCTTTATTCATAATAATACAAATACTGAATATTCCTTCCTCATCCTATTTTCCCCACGACAACAACCCTATGAGGCGAGCTAGGCTGAGAGAGTGAGCGACTGGTCCAAAGTCACACCCAGCCGGTTTTCATGCCTAAAGTGGGACTAGTACTCAAAACGGTGCCTTAACCACTAGACCAGATTGATTCTCCAATCTCTATCTTGGCGTCTTTAGGGGGCAGTGGGGGGAAAGCGGACAGCATGGAGGCATCAGAACAGAGGGTAAGAGAAAGGGAAAGTTTTTTTCCCCAAAATTACTGCATATGCAAAATCTATGCATAAAAATGTAACTGCTTAAGTAATTACGCAAAAAAATAAGGTGTGTGTATGTGTGTGTGAAGTTTTCGCAGGTACTTACTTCTTTGGTATTCGGCTTTGTTCTGGTATTTTCCCACGTCATTATAGTTGTGCTTTTAAAGTTGTAGCGACGTTTCGGCAGAATCTCATCTGCCATCATCAGGTTTCTGTATTCTGTATATTTGTCTGTATACAGACAAACACAATACAGAAGCCTGATGATGGCAGATGAGATTGTGCTGAAACGTTGCTACAACTTTAAAAGCACAACTATAATGACGTGGGAAAATACCAGAACAAAGCTGAATACCATACATGTAAGTACCTGTGAAAACTTATACACACACACACACACACACACACACACACACACGAAAGAAATGGCATTTTATTTTGTGGTCTAAAGTCAAATCAGGACAGATGATGTTCCAGAGAGCGTATGCCCCAGCAAAAAAAACCCACCTCCTACTGTAGGTTCCTATCAAATAGAATACTTTTGCGGATAGGACTTACAGCCTGTTTGTCCTACTGGACTTGGGGAAAATGGGTAAATGCAATGGAGAAGAGGCAATCCCTCAGATAACCTGGCTCCATCCCACGTAGGGCTTTAAAGGTCAAAACCAAGCACTTGGAATTGCACTCGGAAGCAAACTGTTAACCAAATCATTTCATAAAGCAGAAATGTAACTGTCTTCATGGGGACACACATAATGGCCTTTGCCGCTGCATTTTGTACCAGTTGAAATTTCTGGCTACTCAAGAGTAATTACAATGGTCTGTGAGAGAAGTGACTGGGGCATGAGTAATTGAGCAGAGCCTGAAGATCTAGAAACTGACACAGATGGCCCTGACTGCCACCTGCTCCTCTGTCAGGAATTATGAGTCAGAAAGGCTCTTAGACTGTGAACTGGGTCCGTTGGGCAGTGCTAGCTATACAGTACCAAAGAAAGAAAATCCCAGATCTGAAGGGCCCTAAAACTCAAAAGCCACTCAGTCTTGCCAGGTCTCAGTTGAAGCCTGTTGTTCCCCCTCTAGACCCTTACAGCCTCCAAGCAACAGGAGAGGAAATCCACAGCACTGCTTGGTTTGCCAGGCCTGGAAAAATACAACTGAGTATCATCAGCCTACTGATGGTGATAGATCAGGGCTGTCAAACTTGCGGCCCGCAGACCGGATGCATCTCACGCTGCCCATGCCTACACCCGATTTAGCAAAGGAGGAAAAAGTCGTGACAGGTCATGTGACAACGCCATGATGATGCAACTTTGACATCCCTGACTAGTATCAGTCCTGAAGAACCAGCACAATACTGTGCCACCCACTTCCAATCCTGGGAGCTGATCCAGAAGGATATCACACCTGATGATATCAAAAGATGCTGAGAGGTCAGGTAAGAGCTAGAATAGAGGCACTATCCTCTACCTGCTCCTGCCAGAGGCCACCCAAACATGTGACCAATGCCATTTCCACCTCATGGAATGAATCAATGAACAAATAAAATAATGAATGGGAGTCAGATAATCTACTTTATCCAGGGTCTGCTGAAGCTGCTGATTTCTTACCATCAGCAAGTATGCTTGAAGCAGAAAAAAAATATGTACACAGGAAGTTCCCTTATTCTGAGTCAGAACCTCGGTCTCTTTAACTTTAATCACTTTAATCACTGGAGGACAGCAACTCTAAGCAGGATTTTTCAAGTTCACCAAGGAAAAACTCTGCAACCTTCCTAATACAAACTAAGTTCAGCCAATTTGAGAGAGAGAGCGCGCCAGGAGCTCATATCGATTTTGCACACGCAGCATTTTTTCTTTTGGAGTTAGTTGTGGTTCCTAAGTACACACAAGGTCACCTAGAATAGGCTGGTCAAAGCCTAATCAGCTTTCTGTTTCCGAGTATGCCCGAGCCCATAAATGAGGCAAGAGCAGACTAGGTACACCGTTTTCCATACAGGTTTCCAAGAATTAGTATAAATAGGTTTATTTTCTCCAATTTGGGAAATAATAGCCAACACGTTTAACATCATGTTGGGTTTTTTTTTTTTTAACAATTCTCATTCTACATCTGGTACCTAACAGGCAGGGATCGGGCCACCCTGATTATTATAAGCTGAATGTGTTGATTGACTTGACCAGAAAATAAGTGGCTCTAAGCGGTATTGTTTATCACATGCGAAATCCATTACGTAAACTCTCCCCTGCGTTTTGCACACCCGGCGTGCACTTAATGCACTTAACCTAGAAAACATGTAACGTTCTCAACCCGTCAGGTTAAGAATAGTCCGTTTCCTAGTATGGACGGGAGTAAATTTAATCTTCCGGATTTGCCTTTTATAAATTATCAAGGCGTTTAATGTATCCTCTCATTCACACCTCAAAGAGGCATTTGGTATTTTTATCGGGGCTGTTTCCGCCATCCCAGGGATGACGACTCCCCAACAAGATTTTCTTCTGACAAAACATCTCCGTCGAGGACCGGGGTGCACTTTCTATGCACTTCTTGGGGTGGGTGGGGCACCAATTTGGGGCCAACGCCGTTGGAAGCAAGCCAATTCGCTCTATATGGCTTGCCTAAGTTAAAAAAAAAGGACGAGGCTGTTTCCCGGGAGAGGTGCGGAGGATAACAAAGTCAGCGGTACGGCTTGCTTCTAGGCATTCTAGGCATGCAGTAAGCAGAGGAGACGGGATCAGTAAATAAGGACGAGGATCGGCAAGCAAAACCAGCAAGCAAACACACACACACACACACACACACACGCCCTTGATGGTGTGATTAGGCCACTTTCGGGCAATTGGGAGAACCTCCTTCCCGCTCCATAAAAGCTTATTCGCCGGCTCCGTGCGATCTGTACAAGAGTCCCCGCCCGCCGGCCCACGTGATTTATAGGAAATCCACTAAACGCTCGTTCAGAAAGTTTCGGTTTCCTTTCCTTTCGTAGATATATACATAAAGCGGTGACTTCTCTCTGGCGCAGCAGTCATGGCTAGCTTGGTCGAGGCGTTGTCTATGTTCGGGCTGGAAGAGGAGCTGACTTGCTCCATCTGTTTGTGCCTTTTTCAGACGCCGGTCACTACGCCCTGCGGCCACAATTTTTGCCTGCCATGCCTGGAGATGACCTGGATGGAGTGCGAGGAAAAATTCAGCTGTCCCCAGTGCAGAGCTTCTTTCGAAACCCGTCCAGAACTGAAGAAAAACACGGTGCTCTGCAAAGTGGTGGAGCAGTTCCAGATCAGCCAAGATGGCCTCTCCAAAGGGACGTGTGAGGAGAAACGGGAGAAAGCGGACACCAGCCCGACCAAGCCGAGGCCTCCCTCGCCAGTGCCCTGCGACAACTGCCTGGTGGTCGACGCGGCCAAGACCTGCCTCACCTGCATGGCCTCCTTCTGCCAGGAACACCTGGGGCCCCACCTGGAGAGCCCAGCGTTTAAGAGCCACCAGTTGGTTCCACCCGTGAGGGATCTTCAGCAGCAGAAGTGTCAGACCCATTCCAAGCTCCTGGAGTTCTTCTGCCAGGAGCACCGACTCCCCATCTGCAGTTTTTGCCTGCTTTCTCACAAGACCTGCTCCACTACCCCACTGAAAGAGGCCAAGGAAGCAAAGGAGGTGAGAAAGGAGTGAATGGTGGCTACGTTGTTGCGCTAGGCGTGGGGAGACAGAGGGGGCACATTGACTTCAGTCAAATGTCTGTGGAGATTCTAGTTAGCCAGGTCCGTGGTTGTCCCAAAGGTGCTTTTTCAAAAGATAACCGGACTTTTGAAAAACGCAGTTCAGTTACCTTTTGAAAAAAAACGCCTTTGGGACACCGATCTCAGCCCTGAAAGGTGGTTGGAGAAATAAGATGGAGGAGGGAGTGCTGTGTGTGTGTGTCTTGAAGAAAATGGGGGGTATAAATCTAAAGCGGACCTGTGCATTCTGTGACCCATGGGTCACATCTGACTCCTTGGCTATCCCTGTCTGGCCCAAGACAGCATCACCCCTATTGGTTCAATCCTACACAAGAGTCCCAGTTTAGTGGCCCCTTGGGGAAAATTAATTGCCCATCCCTGATCTAAAGAAACAGTTTTGTAGGATCCAATTTGGATTGGTCACTGGGACCAGGGGTTTAATCTTCTGAACTCGTGAAGGAGCCTATCCTCAGGGAATGTGTCTCTATCACAGGGCTCCCCAAACTTGCCAACTTTAAGACTTGTGGACTTCAGCTTCCAGAATTCTCCAGCTGGCTGGAGAATTCTAGGAGTTGAAGTCCAAAAGTCTTAAAGTTGCCAAGTTTGGAGACCTCTGCTCTATTGGAATGTGTTCAGAGAAGTTCCCGGAGGACACAAGTCAAAAAGCTCAGAAGACTAACACTCTGGTCCTGGTGACCGGATTGGATCCTACAACATTATTCTGGGACATGTAAATTTTCCTTCATTTGTGAGAAATAGTTTTGACTCCTGGAAGCTACCTGAACAACTTGGGAAGGTTTTTTTGGGAAGTGGTTTGCCCTTGTCTCCTTCCTAGCACAGAGAGTAACTGGCCAGAGGTCATCCAGCTGACTATTTGCCTAAGGGGAGACTAGAACTTACCACCTCCTGGTTTTTAGCCTGATGCCATAACTACTACACAAGACTGGCTCTTGCAAATTATCATACAAAGCCAAAGTTGGCTTATTTGGTCCTGTGTGTTATGTGTCCTTTCAACCAATACTGTTCAGTAAAACTGGTTGCATTTGTGTTCAACTGTGTTCTGTGTACACACACACACACACACACACACACAGAGCAGAGGTATATGGAGAGTTATTTGTTACCATGTACCTGGTAGCTATTGTACACCCAAGAGACAGGTTTACTGAAACCTGCATTGGCTGCTTGAGGCAGAAAGAGCCTTCTACAGCTGGCAAATGTCAACAGGATAATAACACATAAGCTTATTTTGCAATGGAGGACAGAATCTTTGTATTTTATAGTGGTCTAGACTCTAGAAGAGACCACCAAATGCAAAGGCAATCATCAAATAATCATCTGATGCCGGCTCCCTTTGGTTTTCTTACCAATCCATAGCAAAAATAAATAAATAAATAAATAAAAATAAATAAAATATACAATAATTTACATTTCATTACTTTTTGTGATACCTTTAATGTATTTTCTATAGTCAGGTTGCACCAAACCTGTTATCACTGGAAGTTTATATGTCCCCTGGGGCTATTGATTCCCTATTTTAGTAACCCCTTCTGACTTTTTCTCCTTTAAAACCATTATAGCTATTTTAGTGTGTTGTAGAAAGTCTGTGTTGTGTTCTGGACAATACCGTTTTTCCAAAGCAAATCTTAAATGTGTTAGATTTCATGGAAGTTAATGCTTTGTATTTTATTGAGACTTGTTTAGCCCTTGTTTTGCATATTTGTTTACTGGCTTTCTGTGGTCACAAAAACTCAGTGACTTTAAATCAATACAGAATATTTTAGTACAGTATGGGGCTGCTGCTGCTGCTGCTGAAATAAATAGTAATGATACCTTCAACACTATCAAACAACCTACTTAACCCAGGTCCTTGGGAAGGACTCAGTAGGTGGGTAAAAATGCCAACTTTAGCCTAAACATCTGGCTGATCCTCCTGGCAACCATAATATAAAATTGATGCTCGTGTAAAATAATGTGGGTTTGGATTTGGGGGGATGGAGGTTGATTTCCAAGTCTACAAAAAGAGGTAATTGTGTCAAAGAGTTTAAAAACAACTCCCATATATGCTCCCACATATACGTGTGTGTGTATATATATAATGTATATGTATGTGTGTGTTATGTCTCACCTGTACAAATGAGGTGAGAAGTCCAAATTTCCGACTGAATACAAACAGGCAAGCAAGTCCAGTAATTATGGAGTTAACTCCTTTGAGCCGATAATGTTCTTGGCAGTCTCACACACGCTGTTTGCCAAGTCCTACCAGATAAGATGAATATTAAATCACGCAAGCTGCCACAACACAGAATACACACTGAAGTTTCTCTGAATAATTAACACATCCCGAACAAGTTCCCAGAGCGAACACACCCACTTTTATTCCCTGTGGGGCGTGTCAGTCCCTCATCTCAGTCTCTGATTCGTCCCTTCTTTCTGCGTTGCAGCTCGCACTTTTGCCTACGCCGCTGCCTCGCATCAAGCCAGCATTCCTCTGCTGGATTTTCAGTCAGAGACTCTGATATGCCCTCCTCCTTTTCCTGATTAGCCTCAGGTCTTCTCCCCCCACCCCCTTATCTGCTGACACCTGAGGCACAATCAGGGAGGAAGGCATTGCCGAAGAGGAAGGTCCTTGGGAGGAAGGCATTTCCAAAACCACCTCTTCCCCACTGTCCGAGTCTTCGTCCTCTAATAAAGTAGGCTCAAACCTCTGAGCCACAACATGTATGTATGTATGTATGTATGTATGTATGTATGTATGTATGTATGTATTGGCTCCGATTTCTGAGCCTGTGTTGTTAGAGGAAGAGGACTCAGAAGATGAGGAGGAGGAATTGGGAATGCCTTCCTCCCCAGGACCTTCCTCTTCGGCAATGCCTTCCTCCCTGATAATACCTCAGGTTTCAGCAGATAACCGAGAGGGACAGCCTGAGACTAATCAGGAGGAGGGCATATCGAAGCAGCCTCTGACAGGGAATCAAGTAGACGAATGTTGGCTTGATCCTAGGCAGCATCGCAGGAAGAAGTGTGAGCTGCAACGTAGGAGGCATGGGCGAATCCGAGAGTGAGCTGAGTCATTGAGATACACCCCACAGGGGATAAAAGTGGGTGTGTTTTCTCTGGAAACTCTGTACGGTACAAAGTTTTACTTTTCTGTCAGCTTCGGTGTGTTTTGTTTCTTGTGGTCTGCGTTGGAAGCTTTAGTGATTCTTCTGGTTATCTTGTCGGCCTTGGCAGGCAGCATTTGTTATAATGCCAAGAACATTGTCTGTATAAAGGAATTAACTCTGTAAATACTCAATCTTCTTGCTTGCCTGTATTTGTCGGAGTTTGGACTCTTCATCTTCCTTGGAAAGGTGAGACATAACATTTTTGTCCCGTACCTGACTTAAACCATTTTTACCCAAGATGGACCAGCAGCAGCAGTTTCACCAACAGCTGCAGAATGAAAATCAGGCTCTGCAACAGCAGCTGGCTCAATTAACAACTCAACTTGCTTTGCTGCGGGCTCATGCTGCTCCTCCTGCCCCTCCCCATCGGAAATGCCTGGTGGCTGTGCCAGATAAGTTTTCTGGGCAGCCTGAGATGTTCCCGGCTTTCATGGGACAGTGCCAGTTGTTTATGGCTATGAGGCCAGAGGATTTCCCAGATGACCGGGCTCGGGTGGGGTTTGTGATAAGCCTCCTTTCTGGCTCGGCTGCCATATGGGCCACACCTTTGTTGCTCCAGAACAGCCCGTTATTAACGGATTACCAGGGGTTTTGGCAACACATGCGCCACATGTATGAGGACCCCATACGAGTGCAGACGGCAGCCAGGCGTCTGAAGGAACTTCGCCAAGGGAAGCACCCCCTGCAAGAATTTATTTCAGAATTTCGGCTTGCATGTCTGGATTCCAATTGGAATGATGCAGCCTTAATGGACGCCTTCCAGGATGGCCTGTCAGATGAGCTGCAGGATGAGTTAGTTCGAGGGGAACCAGCCCCAACCCTCGACGCTCTGGTGGTGCAATGCTTGCGCATCGACGCACGACTCCAACAGCGAAAGACCCATCGCACCGTCCAGGAGCAGCCATCCACATCTGTACTGCAGCGCCCTGTGCAACCAGCGCTCCGGGTCACCCAACGTATTGTGGCAATGGCCGAGGAACCAATGGAATTGGGAGCAGTCAGACCTCGCCTGATGGCCCAGGAGCGAATGCGGAGACGTCAAGGAGGTTTGTGCTTGTATTGTGGGGGACCAGGACATTTTGCTATTTCTTGTCCTATAAAGCGAAGGGGGGCACTCAAGCCTGTGCCTGAATCTCGGCCTGATCAGTTGGGAAATGGAGCAGGCCCAACCTTGGGGAAACCCTAGGTCAGGCACATATCAAACACCAGCCTGAATTAGTGGAGGTTGATTCTGGACCCCCTCGGCATCTGCTTTTGGACACTCAGTTTTTCTTGGCTAACCAGTCGAAAGGGATTCCAGCGATTGTGCTGGTGGACTTGGGGGCCACGACTAACTTTATGGACCAGGCCTTTGCAGCCCATTTTGATGTCCCCTTGGTTCCGGTAGACCCTCCGATGAGGGTCGAGACTTGATGGGTGGGAACTTATTGCAGGACCCATTAAATTCGCTACCCAGCCTTTGCGCCTGGGCATTGGAGACCATGAAGAGGTGATCCGCTTTTTTGTCACCGCGGACCTCCATTTCCCATTAGTCCTTGGCATGGCTTGGCTTCGGATTCATGATCATCAAGTGGCATGGTCGCGGAATGCCATTTCTTTTCCGAGTCTGCAGTATGTGGATCACTTACGCCGCACCTGTGCTGGCCAGGACATCACCACCCTGTCGTCTCCATACCTCCTGAACTGACGGACTTTTCGGATGTGTTCAGTGAGAAGGAGGCGGGCCAGTTACCCCCGCATTGGCCCTATGATTGCACAGTGGACCTTCTGCCCAATGTACCACTGCCAAAGGGATGTTTGTACTCCATGTCCGAGCCCGAGTTGGCTGCCCTACGGGACTTTTTGGACAAAAACTTGGCCCGAGGGTTCATCCGGCCTTCGTCATCCCCTCTCTCAGCCCCAGTTCTCTTTGTCAAGAAGAAGACGGGAGACTTACACTTGTGCTGCGATTACCGCCGGTTAAACGCCATCACGGTGCAGAATAGCTATCCCTTGCCGCTCATTCCGGAGTTGTTGGAGAGGTTGCGGGAGGCCACTATCTTCACCAAGCTTGATCTTCGAGGGGCCTACAACCTGGTGCAGATGCGAGAAGGCCGGACGAATGGAAGATGGCATTTGGCACCCGATACAGATATTTTGAATACACCGTAATGCCATTTGGGTTGACCAACACCCCCGTGGTTTTCCAGCATTTAATGAATGACATTTTACAGGACATGCTTGATCGGTTCGTGGTGGTGTACCTGGAAGAAATTTTGATCTACTCTTAGTCCAGGAATAGCTACCTTTGCCAAGTCCGTCAGGTATTACAACGTCTTCGGGAGCATAAACTCTATGCGAAGCTGGAGAAATGCCTCTTTTTCCAGACTTGCATAGAGTTCTTGGGGCATATCATCTTTCCCGAGGGCATTGCCATGGACCCAAGGAAAGTAGAGGATTGAAACGTCAATCACAATTTGAAGGGAGACGTCAAGCCAGAGATTAATTAGAGAGACTGACACGCCCCTCCAGGGGATATAAGGAAGCGTGCTAGCTCTTAATCCTTGTTTGAAGCAAAGTGTCTTTTGGTTTGGAGAATGCGTCTGACTCTCGGCTGCAGCATCTTGATTTATGGTTAGATCGGACTTGGCAGACAGATTCCAGGAAGACTGCCAAGGACTCTGTAAACAGAAGCAGTTAACTCTGCCATGTCTGGGTTTGTCTGTTTGAGCATTTGAACTTTGGATTCTCACCTGTGGATACAGGTGAGACAGAATATATATGTGTGTGTGTGTGTGTGTGTGTGTGTGTGTGTGTTTTCTTAAGTTTTCGCGGGTACTTACATGTATGGCATTCAGCTTTGTTCGGGTATTTTCCCACGTCATTGTAGTTGTGCTTTTAAAGTTGTAGCAACGTTTCGGCAGAATCTCATCTGCCATCATCAGACTTCTGTATAGTGTTCATCTGTGAGTCAGGCTTTTACAGTGGTTTCATATTTAAATTTGGGGCAGCCTATTGCTGTGCCAGAATGGTTTTTTCTTCACCCTGATTGGTTGGGAGTCTTGGTCTGTGTTTATTGGTCTTGGAGTTTGCTGTGTTCTGCTTGATTGGTGTTTCTAATATCTTCTGTCTGTTTTTTGGCTCTTTTTGTATTTTGATTGGCTGGCAACATTGTGTTACTTTATTGGAGGCCTTTGGTGCAGCTTGGCTCCGGGTAAATGGACGGCTATCATTAGTTAGGAAGTTAGGTTTCATCTGGGTGCCTGGTTGGGGTGTGTTTGAACTGGAGGTATCAGGGGGGATCTGTCTGTGCCCAGGTGTGCTCACAAACAAAAAAATCTCCACACCACAAGCCAGGCAAACATCAGCTCCATCTTTGGTCCACCATTTTTTCCCACTCCACACAATATTAAAAATCCCATTTTTAAAAAATCTCATTTTTTGAAGTTGTGACTGCAGATAGGTCCCTTTTAATCAGAATCCTTTGTCAGGATTCCAGCAATTGCCCTAATTATCGTAAGCCTCGAGTAAAACTATATCCGTTATCAGAATGATTTTGTTTCCTTAGTATGTTGGGTTCTGAATGTTGTTTTTTATCTGAATATTTTTTTTCTCTCAGTTGCAGCTGAAGAAGAGATTAACAGAACTCTCTGCCTTGAATGACAAGACTGCAAAGTCCTTGGAACAAGTACGAACGCAGCAAAAGCAACTCAGTGTAAGGAAAGAATTATTTTTTTAACAGAAATTCCCTTCTCTTTGCAAGTAGGATCTGGTAATGTAAGTGGGCTGTCTCAGTTTCAATATATAGAGGCCCACCTTGGAGTTACACATTGTGTTTAGTGAGTTGTGTGTGTGTGTGTGTGTGGTGTTCAGAGAGAGAGAGGTTTGTGTCAAAATTGCCCATGTTTTCAGACTTGTCAATTCCAAGTTTCTAATAGCTGAAAAGTAGTTAACAAGCAATTTTTGAATGCGATTAGAAAAGTAAACACAGGTCCTCAAGTTATGACAGTTCACCGTTAAACCCCACCTTCCCCAAAAGTACTTATGACACAGTCCTGAATGTTATGAATGTTGCGGCACCACAGCCTGCCAGAGGCACTGCAACATTCCTTTGGCCTATTCTAACACGTCCCTCACACACACCTGCACACACAGGGACCTAACAGGCAATGGCCTCCCCACCCCAAAGGCTAACTTAACTTTTGAAGATCCGGGGTTCCAGAACAGGCTGACCCTTCCTCCTCTCACCTCAAGCGAGCTGCCTCCTTTCCAGCCTCTCTGCTGTGGCTGAAACAGAAACCTGTAGCAGCACTGTTTCTTCTTCTGCTCCCTGCTCTCCAAAAGTGGAGCGGTGAGAGCAGAGGAACAGCGGGATTTGCTCAGCTTGGCTGACTCACCAAGGCTCCCTGTGCAGGACACCCGATCCGCTTTTGGAGTGCCAGGTAACCTCAGTGAAGGTGTGCGAGATGGTGTCCCCCCAAATCTTCTGTTCTCCGCACCAAAAGCTTTTGCAAAGGGCGGGAGGCCTGAAGCAGCGTGAGATCTCTGCTCCGAAACCCTCCATCCCCCCGCCCCCCCCCCCCCGTGCAAAAGCTTTTGCCGGGGAAAACAGAAGCCTTTGGGGTGGGGGAGTGATTTTGCACTGGTTTTTCTCTCTTTTCTGCACAAAAAGGTTTCGCAAAGAGACAAGAGACTTGAAGCAGCATGAGATTGCTGCCCCAATCCCTCCATCCCTTTGCAATACCTTTTTGGCGTGGAGAACGGAAGCCTTTGGGGACACAATCTCGCGCTCCTTCAGACTCACCGCGGCTGCTCGGCACTTCAAAAGCGGATCGGGTGTTCTGTGCAGGCAGCCTTGGTGAGTCAACCAAGCTGAACAGGGCACCCTCGTCCTGCTCTCATCCGCTCTACTTTTGGAGAGCCAGGAACAGGAGAAAAAAAAAAAAAAAACGACAAGAGAGGCTGGAAAAGAGACAGCTTGCTTTGGTCATCAAGTTCTTTGAAAACTAAGTTAAGTTTCCACCGGCCCAGTCCCTGTGGAGTCCTGGTGGGGCAGGATGGGGTGTGTGTGTGTGGGAAAGCATGAGATATTTCAGTGGGTCAGGGGAGGCCTTCGGTGGTCAGAAGCACTAGGCCCACCCCATGGTCTTCCCTCCCCTGAGATACCTCATGTGCACTTAACGACCTGCACATTCAATTAGCGAATGCATTGGGTAAAGCAGGAAGGGATCACAATGTTCATTTAACACGATCCAATTAACAAATCCTTGGGTTACGAATGCAATCGGCAGTCTCTATTACATTCGTAACTCAAGGATTACCTGCATGTGAACTTGGGATCCTTTTAAAGATGATAACTATAGCAATAGTACTTAAACTTACATACCATGTCATAGTGCTTTTCCGGCCCCCTCTTAAGAGGTTTACAGAGTCAGCCTATTGCCCCCAACAATCTGGGTTCTCATTTTACCCACTTCGGAAGGATGGAAGGCTGAATCAACCTTGAGTCTGGTGAGACTCGAACTGCCAAATTGCAGGCAGGTAGCAGTCAACAGAATAGCCTGCAGTGATGCATTCTAAGCGCTGCGCCGCTGCAGCTCTTTTAGTTTAAACTATAGTTTGAGCAAGATGGCTATTCTCTCGTCTCCCTGTGCTTAAAACCTGTAGAAGACTGCTGCCTTGTGGTCTCCTCACCAGAAGTAACAGAGGCAATATTGGGTGATCTCCCATCCTCTCTTTCTCTGGAGCGGTTCATAGAGCTGATCTATATTATTGTTATTTATTTGTTATATTTATATTCCACCCATCTCACTGTCAGGTGACACTGGGCAGTTGTTCACCAGCTGTTCGTTCTTAGTTGTGGTTGTTCGCTCCGTATTCAGTCCACCATTTCTTCCTCCAGAGGTCTCCCAACCCTTTTAAAGTAATGTGGCATTACTTCATTTTCCAAATCATTTTTTATTTTGGTTTTACTGTCTTTTCAGAATACCACTAGTCGGAAGCTGGATTTGCTGAAATCAGAATTCCTAGAAATAGTAGCTTTAATTCATGAAGAAGAGCAGAATTCTTGGAAGAAAATCAAATCAGAAGAAAAAAGAGCCCTGGATAAGTTTGAATTTGTCCATACAGTCCTGGGTAAGAAGAAGAATGAAATCCAGATGGAAAGAGGTGAAATTGAAGAGATCTTGGCAGAGATGGATGACATCACATTTTTAAAGGTAATTATCAGTCGGGAGAAAGTCTTCTGAAGGACCCCCTAATTTCTCCAATTAGAGAGGCCCTTTCTCCAGTGAAATCTTCCCTGAGCTGCTTGTCCTATAGATGTATGGGTTGAACTCCCAGAATTCCCCATTGCTAAGAGTTCAAAAAGTTGTCCAGAAAATTACACAGTGTGGGGATGGTTGTTTAGTGTCTTTAGACCAGGGGTGTCAAACTCAAGGGCCGAGGGCCGGATGCAGCCCGCAGGGTGCTTAGATCTGGCCCAACAGGGCTGTTGTGGAAATAGCGAAGGACCGGCCCGTAGTGCCTCTGCCAGCAAAAATGGGCTCCTGAGTTTCGTTTTTGGCTGCAATGGCCTCCTGCAACCATCTGTCAGCAAAAACAGAGCTCAGGGGGGTATACGTGGCAGGAGGCCGTTGCAGCCAAAAACAGAGCTCAGGAGCCTGTTTTCGCTGGCAGAGCGCTCGGGCCACCACAGGTGCCCCCAACACGAGTTGACGTTGAGCTGGCCATACCCATCCCAGCCTCCCGAGGGCAAACACAACCCTGATGCATCCCTCAATGAAATCGAGTTTGACACCCCTGCTTTAGACTAAGAATACAGATGGTAGCAGCGGTTCTAACCTAACCTGCCCAAGCTGAGGCTCCCTGGATGTTGTTGGTTTTCAATTCCTAGAATTAATAAATTCCGACAATTAGGAGGGGCATGCCTTTCCCACTTGGGGTCTGTTTAAAAGAGGAAAATGCAGGATGTATGTTTAGTCATTTAATAAATACTCCACTATATAATGTGTGTTAAGCACTGTAGAAAGAAGAAGAGCTCTTTGTTGGTTGGAATTATCACAAGATCTTCATGCTTTATTTCAGAGAGCAACAAAACTGCGACAGATATCCTTCAGCGATGTATTTGTTCCCAAAATAGAGTTGGATCAAAACCTGCTAGGCGCTGTTTATCAGAAAACTTGTAACCTCAAAGAAGTTACAAAACGATTTTTGAATATAACTCAGGAAGAGAAAAAAAAAGGTGCTTTTATTTATTCATTTACTTACTGGGATGGGTTTTTTTTTCGTATTCACATATGGTTTGCATGTTTTATTCCAGCTGTATTGCTAACCTATGGAAGAATAAATTAACTGATTTTAGTTAATTTGTGGGATAGTATACAGCAGTTCATTTAGTGACTATTCAGAGTTAACCACCCAGAATGGGTGGCCCCAGCTGGGGACAAAGTCATTTGTGTACCAGTGTCCATATGACATCTTCCAAGAGAAGCAAAACTCCTTACTTTCTGCCAAGTTTTTCTTCCTCTCTTTTAATGCATTTATGCTTTTCTAAAGAGGCTCTAAAGGGTGTGATGACTCGGTGGTTAAAGATGTGAGTTTGTCAGTTGGAAAGCTGACAGCCCGAGTTTGAGACCCTAATGCTCTCTGATGGGGGTGCACTCCCATTACCTTCCCCAGCTCCTGCCCACCTAGCAGTTTAGAAGCATACAAACATGAGTAGATAAATAGGTACCACTTTTGATGGGAAGGTAGCAGTGTTCTGTGAACCTCAGAGTATAGTCATGCTTGGCCACATGACCCCGAAAATGCCTTTGGACAAAACTGGCTCCCTCAGCAAGGAAACATAAATTAGCTTGCCTCCTGGAGTCAGAGACCACTGGATAGGGAAACCTTTATCTTTAAAGAGGCTATAGAGGAAGAAGATCCTTCAAAGGGGAAAGATTCTCCGTCAGGCTCTTTCTGGAGGTGTTTTTACATGTTTCTAGGTTCAGCTTAGGGTCACTCACTTGCACACATACACTTTGTTGAGGTCTTGTAAGCCCCCCTGACTTTCTACCCGAGTTTTCCAGTTCGGGCCTGCTGGGGCATACAAGATATACTTGGTCAAGAGCAGAGAAATAATAAGGAACACAAGGATCACTTCCAAATGCGTGAAATGCTGAGGAATGTCAAGTTCTTCCGGAATTCACAGAGACCCAATGAATTTAAAGTGCGGGGAGAATTTTATTGGTTGCCATGTACATTTGCTCATTCTCATACTCAAAAGTCATCCCCGTTTACTACATCCTTCTCGGCTAAGCTACCACGAACTAAGTAGAGGGGCAGAAGCCGCCAAGTCCATATCCAGGATAATTCAAAGAATGGTGGGCTCCAGGACCCCTTCTATTCCCTCAAATACCTTGGTTTGTTGATTCACAACTCCAATAACTGCTGATGAGATTGATGGAATTATCTTGTGCTCGGCACCCAGCCTCCTTCCCCTGCTTCTGGCAACTTTTCTCCTTTGTTCCTTGTTTCCATCTTACCTACCAATTCAGAGGGATCCTTTGACAAGATTCCTGACTTTTGTCTTTGTTTATGTTCCTTTAGGTAATCCGGGCCCTATTGTAATCCCATTGAAGCCACCCATGGTGGAAGAGGTATGCCTAGCAGCTGCAGGAAAAACTAGTGAGTATTTAGAGCAAATCATAGTGATTGATATTTTTTTGCACATGGTGGAGTTTTTGAGATCCGAGCAGACTGCAGGAGTCTCTGGTGGAGCATTTAGCTTTCTATCTGAAGAACGCTGTTCTTTAGCTTTCTTGTAAGGAAGAGAAGGCCAGAAGGAGCTTCCCTCATTGTGCCATTAAATATTGGAAGAATTGGAACTTTATGGATCATTACAACCATTGCATAAAACAGCAGCTAGTGAGGAATACTGGGCATTTTGTTACTTATGATAATCCTCCTTCCCTTGATTCTTCCGGACAACCGTATGAGGCAGTCTAGACCAGGGCTGTCAAACTGGCGGCCTGCAGGCTGGATGCGTCATGCTTAGGCCACACCCACCCCAGCTCCATGAATCAGAAAAACATCGCAAAATGTCATGTGACAGCAATGTGACGCCGCGAGTTTGACACCCATGGTCTAGGACCAACAGCAACTCTCCCAAAAGCAATCAAGCTGAGTTAGGATTTTGGATCACTTCATTGTAACCTGACACATGTTTTATCACACAAGTTACTTACCCTTTGTTTATGTATTTATCAATTAATATGACCACTTACTTATCCAAAGTAATTCAAAATGGAACATGCCATTAAAGCCAAAAGAAACCAAAATGATGTCCTTTTCAACATTTTTTCAATACTAACATTTATATATACGTTTCCATATCATTCCTTCACAACTCGCTGCATGCAGATCTCTCCTGCTTTGGTTTCGTCCCTAATCTTTTTATCACATTTATTTTTAATTCCATTCAGTCTAGTAGAGGCTGTTTTCCAGTCCTTTGCATCTCTTTCCAGAACACTTTGCTTACATATTTCAGCAAAGTGTCTTCTTCCCCCTTAATCTTAACTGTTCCTCTCTACTGCTGATTGTATTTTTGCAACTGCCCTTTGTTTCTCTGTTCTTCATGTTTTGCAGTTAATTTTTTTTTTTTAGTTCAGTTCCAGGCACACTCTGGAGGTGAGGCCAGAGTGAATTCTAAAAGCTCTTTATTTAAAACTGCCTGTGAGGCAACTTAAAACTCCCTGGCTGACATAGCTATTTTTATAGGGAGCCAACAGCCAATCAGGAGAGTGTTTTCCCCATTCCAACAGAGGACCAGAATTAACCCTTCAACTGACAATTATCTACAATACATAACAGTTCCCTAATACAGGGGTATTAGGGGACCACCAAACTCAATTTTAAATCCCGGGGACCACTTGACTGATCGTTGCTTGTTGACATTAGTGAAAGGGAGGGAGGGAGAGAGAGAGAGATGGGGGGAGAGAGAGAGAGAGATGCTCATAGAATCACAGATTCATTCAGAGATCTATCTGCCATTGGCTACCTGAGTCTGCACTGACAAATAGAAGCTTCAGTCCTAAGGAAGGTTCCTCTTCTTCCTCTTTAAGCAGAGCCGAAGATCTAAAGATTAGCTAGAAAGCAAGAAATCCAGTTATTTCCTGCTTTCTAGCTAATCTAAATCTCCCAACACAGCAGAACAGCTGATGGTCGAGGAGGAGGGGAAAGGAAAAATAGCAACTTAGGCAAATTTGCCAGGTAAGGAGTGAGTGGGTGGGGAGCATTCCCGCGGGCCATGTGGGCAGTGCAGCCTAGTGTTCCCTTGTGGCCTGGATTAATTGCTTTGGGGGGGTGCTCTGGGGGTGACATTCCTCTGCAGACCACCAAAATTTCCTTGTGGCCCACCGGTTCACAACCATTGCCCTAATACACAATTTGTCTCATCTCATAGGTCTTTACACCTATTTTTTTCATACTTCCTATTAAAATCACTCTGCATTTTGTAATATATTGTAATTTATTTTATGTCAAATCTTCACTCATTCTATAGTGATCCAGTATTGCTTGGATGCAGGTAATAATTGTGTTAGCTCACAAGTCTTAAGATTACAGTAGAAATCCTAGCTTGCATAGAAAATTAAAAATGAACTTGAAATAAAACTGGGTCTGCTTGCACTTGTGGTAAATGTGCCAAAATTGACTGGCATTCTTCTTTTCCCAGGGAATGTTGTCGATGCCATTGGTATAACTAAGGGTAATTTAAACTGCTTTTCTTTCTCCCCAAAAACTTCTTTTTCCTTGTTGCAAAATCTCTTGGGTTAATTTTTGACTTGATTCTGCCTTCTCTATTTTTCCAAAAGTCTTAGCTTATTATTGGATCCCTGCTTTCTACTATCTACGCATTCCAAATAATCGATTTGTTCATAGCATTTGAATTTTTTTTGTTTCAGAAATCATGTTGAAATGTAAATAAATTTATTGGTGTGGTAGCGGTAATTTCCACATTGCTAAAACAAATTTTTGGGATAATCAAATCAAATTGGTAACACTTTTTAAAACTTCAAAAAATTCTAATAATCCAGAGGATCTCTTGTTTGCCCATTCAGAGAGAGTTGTTTGTCTTGTTCCCAAATCACTAAATTGGACACATCTTTTTTCTTTTCAGAGCAGAGAGGTCGGCCTGCCAAGCGCTGTAAGTTCAGTCTTTTAACCAATCTTGTGACTTTCCGCCTGCCATTGAATTCCACTGATTAAACTTTGAGGAATAGCTGCCTCTGCTGAAATTTCAGGACATTCAATAGGGCATTTGTTGGCATGGAGTAGAAATAATTGTGCTGTGGTCTGGTCATGAGAAAATTGCTCCTGTGGCTTTATTCCTATGAAGATACATTTTCTCTGTACAATTAGATACATTCGTTTGCTACCACTGCACTTTCAGTTGTGTCTATCAATTTAATGTACTCCATTCATTTTCAGTGGCAAGATTTAGTCTGCTATATTTGGGTTCTCAGCTTTTAGAAATGTAGTGGATGTCAAAACAGCATTCTAAATGTTTAGGGGAGTAATGGTTACGTAGGCCTTCTTAAAATCACAAATATTTATTAGTGCCCTTGGTATAAAGGCCGCTAATGAATATTTCTCTCACCGTCTGTTCTTTACGGATGTTAAGTTACTGGTTTCTTGCAAAGGATCCTGTAAAGTTTCTAGAGAAAATGCTATATTTTTTTATTCCCCCTCAATCTCTTCCATTCCAGAGGGCAAGAGATAGAGCAATAGCAATGGCACTTAGACTTATATACCACTTCACAGTACTTTACAGCCTTTTCTAAGTGGTTTACAGAGTCAGCCTATGGCCCCCAACAATCTGGGTCCTCATTTTACTGACCTCAGAAGGATGGAAGGCTGAGACAATCTTGAGCCAGTCAGGATCGAACTCCTGGCTGTGGGCAGAGTCAGCCTGCAATACTGCATTCTGACCATTGCACCATCACAGTGCCTAGTGAGCTGAAACAGAATAGTTGATAATGCTAAATGGTTACTGCAAGGTTCCCCAGGGAGTGTTAAAGCCAAGAAAACTGAAGTTCATAGATTTACTTGGATTGAGGTTAGATGGGATTGTTGAGACCATCAGAAAAAGCCTTATAAAAAGGAGTCTTTCAAAAGCGTTCTTGTTGGAAAGACAGATTAGCAGTGATGTCATGAACAATAGGCAAACGTGACTTCATTTAGGGCCATTGTGTATGTTTGCTACTTTTCAGTACAAAATTTTCATACATTCTAGCTTGTACTAATGATTGTTGCAGCCCTACCTCTGCTTTTCTTTAAACAGGATTCTTCTAGGCTCTAGAAATCTGTAATTTAGAGTTCCATGCTTTAGAAAACTAGAGTCTTGTACATCTCACAATGCTAATGCCAGCTCTTGGAAATCTCGGATTGTCTGATGGGTGAATGCAAAATCTCTTACCACAACTTTGTGGCCCCGGAGGTTTGCAGAACAAACAGAAGCAGAAAGGAGAAGAATTCCACTCCTGAAATGCTATTGACCACCAGATCTGAAAGATATATTCAGCGACTGGTTCAGAATACCAATAGAAGAGGATATTTGTAGCTCAGGATTAAACTCTGAGATCCTTGGTGCTAGAATTAGAATTTCTTGCACCAATTGACATGGCAGCGGGGGACAAAATGGAGGACAAATTGTTCTGAACCATGGGGCCCTTGGTGCTCTTTGAGCATGATTGTTTTTTTTTTGCAGAACTAGGTAACAAAGTAGAGTTTATTCTCTGTTTAGATACAAGTACAATAACTCATGTCTAGAACTGCTTCTGGTTTACTGATGGGTTTACCCATTGGATTAAATCACATGTAATCAAAACTAAATGCCAACCACATATGGAATAGTGAACTAAAACTATATGTCAACAACTAGTGTGATATTTTTTGTCTTATAGTATAAATCTTGGCAACCTACTCTTTTTAATGTAATATGCGTAATAAGTTTTAATGAGATTGTGAAGGTGTATCTTTTTATCTTGTTTGGTAACTATAGTGGGAAGTCCCAAGCAGAGATCACAAAGCAGCAGCAAAGCTGAGACAAAGAGTGAAACAACAACTTTAGATACTTTTTTAACAAAACCAAGAGAGGAGATTCTGAAATGTAAGTAACTAGCATGCTGTAAATTTTGGAAATGATGGAACAGTAATGTTAATAATTATGGTTAACATTCATTCTGAGAAAAACATTACTAAAACAAAACCACCCAGCATAAAATAGAGCATATAAAATGATCGGCCTCTAGCTTCAATAGTGGGTTGCTCCAAACTATCACTAGTTAATGTTAAAGGTCAGGTGGAAGGTTAAGGCTTTCACCTTTTAAGATTGATAAGCACAAAAAATAGTCTCCAAAATTAACACACCATTATAATCCAAATAAGATATGTTTCCGTGGAAAACATGTTTCTGACTGCTGGCCTATTTCTTTAGGTAAGGCTACAGTATATTGAGTAAGGCTACAATATGTTGCAGAAGTTAATTTGCAGAAGAAATAGTAATAAGTCCTTCTAATATTTAAAAGGTTTTATCGAATGGCAACTTATATTGATGGCATTGAGAAGTCACTGCTGATTGGACTTCTAAAATGCCATTGGTTTTGGATTCCAGGTAGTCCTGCATTTACAACATGACATTTAGTGACCTTTTAAAGTTACAAGGGCACTGAAAAAAGTGACTTATGACCATTTTTCCACATGAAGACCATTGTAGCATCCCCATGATCACATGATCAAAATTCAGATGCTTGACAATTTTATGACGCTTGCAGCTGCAGTGATTCACTTAATAACGGTGGCAAAAAAGATAGTAAAGTGGGGCAAAACTCACTGAACAGCTTTTCACTTAGCAAGAAAAATTTGGAGCTCCATTGTGATATCCTAGGTTGAGAACTCCCTTTACTATGATCATGGATTCTGTATTTAGTGGATTCTGTATTCTTATGTATCCATAACTTCTTATAGTGTCCGAAATATAATTAGAGTTCTCAAATGAACAAAATGGTCTCAAGAACATTTCCTTTTTATCTTGTTGATAAATGATCTGGAGCTAGAAATGAACAGGAAAAATGTTTTTGATGTCACTTAAGTTATTTAGGATGAAGAAATAAAGCGATTGCAAAGGAGTCCAAAAGAATTTTACTACGATTTAGTAAAAAGTATTATATGGAAGAAGATTATTTATTTATTTATTAAATTCATATGCCTGGATTTTGTAGAACAGAAAAAAAGTGGTAGAAACAGCGCAGTTGAAATGATAACAGGAGCTATGCAATTCCTTTGGTGCCTTTTGGGTGCCTTTTATTTGACTTAAGAGACATGGTAAAAGCGTATATAATGTGGAGAAGAAAGATATATATTTTTTCATCCTTTTGCAAAATGTAGAATTCTGGGATCTTTCGAGATAAAAAATAAAAGTGAGTATTTTTTCAGAGTGGATGAATTACATATCTGGTTAGTGCTCATGATGATACATAGACTAGGTGGGAAGCTATTGACACTTGTGCATCTTGAGGGCGTCTTATACGTATTTCATTAACCCCTTGGAGCCGGGGTGGGCAACTATGGCCCTTTTATGAATTATGGACTTCAACTCCCAGAATTCCTGAGCAAGCCATGCTAGCTCAGGAATTTTGGGAGTTGAAGTCCACAAGTCATAAAGGGGCCATAGTTGCCTACCTCTGCCTTGGAGGAACTGTGTGGTAATCTGTGTAAACCTTGGATTCTTCTCTGAGCTGTAACTGAGAAATGATGCTCAGTCTGAAGCTGTGTGTAGATGGGAATGTGATTAATGCTCAGTGAAAGTGAGCATTTGGGAATGTCCTCTTCTGATATAGTGCTCTTAACATCTTGGTTGAAATGTCTGTTTTAGGATGGTGGCCCTCAGTCCTACACCTCTTTTCTAATTGGCTCTGGGGTTAGGGGAGGAGATACGTTTTAGAAAAAGAAAGCCTACTGCTTATCAGGAGACAACAAAACAGTAAAGCTACCCTTTTCTTTCTTGCTGCCTTTTCTGGGTTTATTTTTAAAGAAAATATTTTTTAGTTTATGTATTATTGCTATAAAATGCAAAAATACAAAAAATAGTAGTAAAGATAGGGGAGAGGGGAGGGAAGGAAAAAGTGTGGGGGAAAAGGGGAAAAAGAAGGGAAAAGGTGTTGACTTCCGACTCACTTTGGTGCAGTAGAATAAAATAATCACATCAAACCTCAACCGTTGTATTTTTACATAATAGTATAAACTAGCCATTTCTGTAACGACAAACCTATGTAATCAATAAAGCCCCAAATCCAAGTTTCATTTCTTCCACCTCAAAGCACAAAGTCCAGAAGCGACTTTCAAATAGAAACAAAATTGTGTTTCTTTAATTGGAGCAGTCCGTTTCACCATCTCTGCAAACTCCATCAACTTCTGCAGCCATTCATCCATTGTGGGAATCAAACTTTCCTTCCATTTTTGTGCATAAAGTAATCTTGCTGCTGTCAACATATATAGCAGGGGTGTCAAACTGGCGGCCTGTGGGCCAGATTTGTCACACACAGGCCGTGCCCACCCCAGCTCTGTGAATGGGAAAAACGTCGCAAAAGTCATGTGATGGCAACATGACGCAGCGAGTGTGACGCCTGTGATATATAGCATCAAAGTTCTAGATTTTTTCCCCAAGTCTTTTTCTATTAAACCCAAAACAAAAGTTTCTGGTTTTAGCTTTATATTCACTTTGAGAATGTTCTGTATTAAGATATGAATCCTACTCCAGTATTTCTTTGTTTTGTCACAGGTCCACCAGGCCCCTTCTTTGCTTTTACATTTCCAACATTCATTTGAAATACCTTTATAAATTCTTGAGAACTTCTCTGGTATTAAATACCTATGATACATCATGCTATGAAATTTTAAATATTTCATCCACATATTCTCCCACTGTTCGAGTGTGAGATTATATCCAAACTCCCCTGCCCACTGAATCATGTAGTGCTTTACATATTCGTACTCTAAATTCAATTACAATTTATGAACTTTAGCAATAACACATTCACAATTACCACTCTTTTCAAAGTTTCTTGCTGTTTTCTGATTTCTCTTCTGATTGTATTTATTCCTAGTTGCTACGCAATTTACTCTGGATCGCAACACGGCTCATAAAAATATTGTATTACTGGAGAAATATACCAAGATGTCTGTCACGGAAACGGTACAGGATTACAAACAGCACCCTCAGCGATTTTTAAGCTTCTCCCAAGTGCTTTCTTTCCAGTGTTTCAAGAATGGAATCCATTACTGGGAAGTTGACCTGGAGAAAAACAACTTCTGTGCTGTCGGCATCTGCTACGGGAGCATCCCAAGACGGGGCCCGGAAAGCCGCCTAGGACGCAATAGCAGCTCCTGGTGCATTGAATGGGTCAACAATAAGGTCTCAGCTTGGCACAATAATAAAGACACATCTCTGCCCACCAGCAAAGCAACGAAGATTGGTGTCCTTCTAAATTATGATGGGGGTTTTGTTATTTTCTTTGGTGTCACCGAGAAAAAAATCTTCCCGCTCTATAAATTCAAAATAGAATTCACGGAAGCTGTCTATTCTGCATTCTGGGTGTTTTCTAATGGAGCCACCATTTCACTCTGCCAGCTGAAGTCATAACAGGCTGTGCAGAATGGCTTTGCCACCCACACAAAGACATGCACCCACACTATGCTATGATGTTGCTTTTCCACAGGTTTTCCACTTGCATGATGTCTACAAAAATGTTTTAATGTTAAGCTCTGTGCTTGGTTTTTGAAAAATTCTTGGGTTATTTGATCAATATTTCAGTCCACTAACAGAGAGGTCCTTGATAAAATCATTGGGAAATTTGCCTAGAGGGTTCTTAGTCTTAGTGGACTGAATCCATCAGGCTTAATGTTTGCCTCATACCTCTGAGGTCTAAGCCATAATGGGATATGGGTGTATAAAGTCTTCTTGGAACAGAGGCTGCCTTCATTTCATCTCCTGTTCTACTTTAGAATAAGAAATGCAGAAAATGAAACTCATCCATTTTCAGGGACCCAGCTGTTAACTTCTTCACAGGCTGCACTGTTCACAGCTTTGATTAGCTTCTCTTTCATGTGGGCACTCTTCGCTTCCCATGGGGTGAAAATTTCAGGGGTGTTCTCTTAATCTGCATAGAATTTGCTATCAGATTTGGCCATATGAACAGTAACCTCCGAAGGTCTTGTTTTTCAGATGACTGAAAACAAAGCTGTGCTGGGAGGTGATGAGTATTTTTCATTCTTCTACTAAAACACTATGGAGAGAAGGGACAAAGTGGTACTTTGGTAGTACTGCTTGGAGGAAAACTGATAATAAAAAGACAGTATTTTCATTCCTGGAGCTCCTTTTTTAAGCCCATGTTCCATGGATTTCTTTTCCTCCCTACCCTCTTTTCAGATGCTCTGAATATGTTGGAAAAGCCATTTTGTGCCATCTGATAAATCCCTGTTTGCTTAACCTAGTTCTTCAGAATTATATGTACTTAAACTATGTACTTAATTATATGTTCCTCAATAGCTGTCCCAATAGCTTTGAACAGTGTTCCTCAAGCAAGTTAGGCCCTGAATATTCTTGGCCATGCTTGCCAGAAGGAAGTGGTTTTTTAAAAAAAAATCATCTGCTTAACCCATGTTGAAAGTTGTTCTTTGATTATGGTTGACTAAGATGATGAGGTTCCTGTTCTTGTTTCTTGAAGGGCTACGTACCTTCACAGTGATGTTCTAGTCTAGTGGAAGATTAGGTATAACATCTGCATCTAATCTTTTAGATTTTGTTCCGCTTGCTACTGCTTGTGGTAATTAGATTACTCTAATTTCCTGCATGCTGTTCACTGAGCATAGCCTTTGATCACATTTGGCGGCGGTACCAAGGATTGAAGATCATTTAAAGGACTTCCATTAAGTGTGCAAAACCATTCAGGGTGCCATCTTTAATTTCTGTCTGCAAGCTTCCCAGCTGGTATTTCAGCTTCAGTATGTCTTCTGTTTGCTTTTTAAAAAAATAAGCAGTAGACTGGGAAGATCCACAGAAATTGGAAGTGAAATGTTTTAGGAAACCCAGTTTTAGGCTTCTGATAGTTTTCATCCTGGGGCAGGGGAGACACCTAATGGTACATGGTTATGACAATTGTACATCTAAGCCATTGAGTACTTTGCTATGCTTCCTCATTCATTATAGGTATTCTAATTGGCATTAGAAGAATCTATAACACAAATGTAGTGGCTTATGGAGCTGTCAGCTTTCAGAAGTATTTCTGCTAGAAAGTGAAAAGAAGTATCCTTATGACAGACATAAATAAACTACATTTTTGGCAAATCTAGATTTCTGCAGGACATAATTTGAGATAAAAGGGAAATCTGACTAAAGCATTTTGATTCAGTTGTAGTTTTATGATCAAGTAAAGGGCCCAGTTTCAGGACACTACTTGTTTTCTAAGTGTGTCTTTTATGGCACATTGCTGGATTTTGAGAAATGTTTTTAAAAGTTGAATTACAGAGGCATTAGGAAAAAGATGCTCTGGAAGTTACTGAATTGGAATGGACGACTGCAAAAAAATAAAATGAGCATTATCCATTCCTTAAGGTAACACGGGGGAAAAGGCTTAAGTAGGTAATACAAGGTATGAAGTTAAAAATAAGAACGGAACAGTTCCATGAAGGAAAGACAATCTATGTTGAGATCATGGCTGCATGAAGGTGAGAAAAATTGGCATGAGAACCTGTGGTTTCTTCTGCAGTGTAACACGTTTCTTGAAGGGTGTGTGTGTACTAGGATTGTCCCTCTGAGTCTTGTATAGTTGATGTTTCTCTTCATGAAAATGAGCTTCCTGGTTTTTGCATTGTTCTTGAGAGCGTGTGCTCCCATAGGAAGCATCAGTGAAGCATTCTTTCAACAAATCACACTTAAATTTAGACATGTATTTGTAATTTTTTTAACAAACCCACAAATCCTAAGGCAGAATGTATCCAACTACTTGTTATCCAAATATTATGTGGATAGCATTCTTGGTGGTATCTTTGCTGGTATCTAAATGTCTTTAGGTTGTGGTTACAGTAGGTGACTCTAATACTGAAGTCTTAATGATTATATTGGAATCACCTAATGATCTTGAACTATCTCTGAGATTCTTTAAGAATCTCTTTACATAGTTTATTTTTCATTTAAAATGTTTATCCAGGCACAATATTGTCCTTTGGCTAAAAGTTGATTCTTAGCCTTTGATTCTTATATTACAAACCAGGTTTCTTTCAGATCAGCCTCAAATAAGGTTTTATCTTAAAGCAAGTCAGCTCTTGGGATAATGTCAGTGGGTAGGATCGAAGCCTCGGGAAGCATATGATTTTCCCCTGGTTTTAACAAAAGATAGCCAAATTGCATGTTTTCACTTTAAAATTGTGTGTCATTTGGTTCTATATCTCCAGTGGTCATATTTGCATTATTACATCATTAACTCTTGTAATGTAGCCTGTGGCTTAATATTTTTTGCTCAGCTTTTCAGAGATACAGGAGCAATATTATGAACAATTACAATTATGAGCACTACAAAACTTTGGGGAAATGCTTTCTATGAGACCTTTGCAGAAATGTTCAGCTTGCTACATTATGGTGTGTTATCTTGACAGTAACATATACAGCTTGTGTTTTTATTTTAAATTGTAAGGAAAAAAACTTCTGTAGTTTGCATTAACAAATAGTGGCCTCAAAATTTCAAGATAGTGAAGCTGTTTATGATTTCTGCTAAAGTCTTTACCTTGCTTCATTAAGAATCAGCCTGTTGTCTCCCTAACTATAAAAATATAATGTGATGAACCTCATTGCCCTGTCTTTCAATGAATCTGTACTTTTTAAATTAAAATCAATAAAGTTTATCATGGTTTATCATGGAGTGGTGTTTGTGCCAAACTCAAACCTACTGCTTCTGCATAGAAAGGTTTCCACAAATGAAACAAACATTCCAAAATATATTTATGTAGTTGAAAGGAATTGAACCCAGTAAAGTGCACATTAAAATAAACATGTCACAGCAATATAGGAGCTAAAGTCTTCATTCCAAGCAAATGTACTTGAGAGAAAACTTTTCCAACACTGATAGCTTCCCACAAATAAACTTTTGTAGGATTCAAGTATACCACAGAAGCAAAAACATTACTTGGAAGCAAAAAATATCCAGCCAAATTACATTGAATTATTTAAAGAAGTTAAAACTCTTGAAAAACAGATTCCCAATCTTTGCTGCCTATTTGGAAACCATCTTTGTCTTTCAAAATCATCTAGCTGGGTTTCTCTGCCATTTCCTTCTTAAACCACCCCCATTTCTTCACCTCCCTTCTAGGTTCACTGGAGCAGCTGTTCCTTCTCAAAGAATCAGGATGTCAGCATCTATTCACTGTTGTGACTCCTCAGCCAAGTAGAATTGTGAAAAAGTATTTAAAAGGTCAATTAACTGGTGTCTCTTGAAGGCCTTTGTCATTCCCTTTATCCCTTTATTCCCTTTGTCAAGGGCCTGCAGGAGCTTGCTTCCCAGGTTTCTCTCAGATGCTGTTCATTTTAAATAATGGATTTATTGAGCCTCCTTATTGGATTTTGTGTGGGAGACACATTTGTCTATATTCTTTCACAGTGTAACTGTTGCAGCAATCTTAGTCACCAGTCCAGGACACAAGATCATGAAGGGTTGGAGAAACAGGTTTATTTGCGCAAAGGTTCAGAGCACTTACATGTCAAATTCTGAACCCTGAGTTATTCCCGAGGTGTGACTTTTATTCAGCTTACAACCCCGGACTCACCTAGGGTGTTAATGTTATCTGGCTATACCATGACAGAAAAGGAGAAGTTTTCATACGGCTCTCTTGCTACATTTTCCATATATGGTATTTATCTTACACCATCTGTTACCTCTGGTAGCCACCTCTTGCAATACATTACATAAAATATCTAGTACATAGATTACATTACATTCATATGTTAGGTTACATGTTACATTCAGCAAGTCCCTGTATTTTCTAAAGTAACATATAAGTCAAATAACTTCTGCTAATAGTATTAATACCTTTTAGTATTTTCTCACACTGCTTCATAACCATCCATTTACATAAAATATAGGCAATTCTATGAATAACTCCCACCCCAAAGGCTGTAAAAAGGAGCCGCCATTAAAATAAAAGACACCCCAATTAATTCAGTTTGAAAATAATTCCTTTTTCTCACAGTTCTAATAGGCTGAAATTTATTCATTGTTTTATTACATTTACACACTGTCTTATGATTCCAACATGATTCAAAAATCCCTACATGGGTGCATTCCAAGAAGCTAAGCGATCTTCTTTAAGCCACTTCCTATAAAATATTTTTTGTTGGGGAACTCCAAGTGGAGTCTTGTTTCTGATGATCAGTATTTGTGTAAGGTGACTAACCGCCCTCCTTTAGGTAGGACAGTCCTCCTTTTGTAAGTTCTGTCCTCTCTCAAAAAGTGTCCTACATGTCCTCCTTTCTGATATTTGAAGACTAATCTGTAAATCTCTGCATTTGATCGATGCCAATCTGATCCGTTGTGTGTGATGTAACGTATTTGTATTTGACACGATAATTCGTCACGGTTCGGTACAGTGTGGCAAGATGCAATTATGAGACGCATGCGCTCCACACAGAATTGTTTTGAGAGAGTGTGCCACGCGCAAGTGGCTTTTTTTTTTTGCTTCAAATTATTTGTGTCCCCCTCATTGTGAAAAAGTTGGTCACTATATGTATACAAAATTGTATTAGGAGCTCTTAGGACCCCTGTGGGATTCAAATTGAATGAATAAACAGTATTTTGGGGAGGAAATGCCTATGGACTAATAGGGGTCCCAGTTGCAAACTATACCAGTATTTGGTTTGCAAAATGCTTGTTTCCTTTTTTTTCTTTAAAGAATCATCAAGAGATGCTGGAAGGCAGTAAGATATAGATGCCAATTCACACTGTATTATTTTCCTATGGATTAGTGTGTAGATTAGGCAGGAAGAAAGGAAATGGGAGAAAATAAATCCATTCTCTATATAATTTAAATGAAACAAAGCGAAACCCTTCTCCTACTTGTTTCTATAAGGTGATGAAAATATTAAACCACACTGATCTACAGTACTACTGCAGGTCGTTGGTTGTTTTATATCATTATCATGGTGATCATATTTTTATGTAGAAGGTGATGTGACCTCTCTGCTACCTGCATAAATAGAAGAAAGCATACCATCGTTATGAAGTTGCTGCACGAATTTGTCAACTTCTGTTCCCTTCGTATCTAAAAAGCGCTATGGGTTATATATATATAATATAAATGAACTGAAATTCTCTAAGATTCAGTTAAATACATACATACATATACACCAAATTATTTCCTTTTGGGATGTTATCCTGAGTACAGAAAAGGAAGTAGTAAGCTAAATAAATTAACAACAATAAATATGAACATGGAAAGGAAACAATAAGGTGCCAGGTTCACTAGATGGGCCCATGGATACATTGATTTCTCATCCATTCTAGGTTTGGTCAGTCAAAGCTTTCACATAATGCTTTGGAAAAAAAAAAAGAACAAAGTGGATTACCAGCCTTAGTCACATTTGTGGCATGCACTGCCCCAAAGGACAGCACTGGTCAGTAGGTCCCAGTACTATACAGCAACATGCCAATTTTAATAGTATTCTTATGCTCTTAAACAAGCTAGGATCACTAGTCTTAGAGATTGCCTTGCAAACCAACTAAGAGGCATGTGAGTATACTGACACTATGTAATGAAATGGTTAGTCTCTACAGTTCCTATCTGTTTTCTGTCTCTATTATAGAACGTGGCTTGCATTTAAAAGTCTCCAGCAAGTCTATAGCTTATTTGCTAGGGGCCTTTAATCCAAGTTTAGGAGTACTTCAGAAACATCCTCTTTTAGCTCATTTAGAAATAAAGCTAAGTGTTGTAGCATTTAGTATGAAATTAAGCCAAGAGACATGTCTCAGCAAAGACCCTACTAATCCCTCTGAGAGCTGATCGTGATTTGATGTTCCTTATTATGTGAATTAAACCTGAAGAAATCAAGACTGCAGTAAGATGTTTTCATACCTTTCTAAAAATGAAGCCAAGGCAACTGATGAAACTGAGAAACATAGTAGCTCAGGGGTCCCCAACCACCGGGCCGGGGACCTGTACCGGTCCGTGGAACATTTCCTACCGGGCTGCTGGTTTGCTGGGCGCCGCCATCTTGTTTGACGAGAAAGTGCTTCTGTGTGAGCTTTTCCAGTTGGAAAGCGACGTTTGGGTCCTGAAAGAATCCTCATGCCTTAATTTCATCGAAGGGGGGGGCTTTGAATGAAACTAAGGCGCGAGGATTCTTTCAGCACCCAAGGCAAGGCAAGCCGAGCGACCGTCTCGAAGCCATCCGGAAGTGAAGCCCATCGACAAAGGTACAAAGGAGGAGTTGAAGGTGGCGGGGAGAAGCCGGGGACGGCTGGCTGGCCGGTCGCTTGGCTCGCCTTGCCTTGTCATGCGTGCTGATGCCGGTACCGGGCCGCGGATCATTTTGTGATGCCAGTACCGGGCCGTGGCACAAAAAAGGTTGGGGACCACTGTAGTAGCTCATCTACAGTGGAAAGAGTGCTGATTGTGTGACAAACCTGTTTCTGCAGCATAGAAGCCTCCATGAGTGCCATACAAATGTGCATTTCCTAAAATGCTCATCTGGTAATCCTGGCTAGTTTTTTCTTCTTCTCTTTTTAAACCCAGAGTTCCTGCTGTGGATTGTCTATTTTTAAGGTTGGTGGGAAAGTTTGTATTACAGAGGGAGAGATCTAGCATTACAAGTTCCAGTATGGTACGATCTGCTTAGTCCTGGAGTAAAGATTCTGTTTTTGTTTTTTTTAAAGGAAAAATAGCGAAATGCTAATGCTACACACACACACACACACACACACACACACACACACACACACACATCTGCCCCATCCACTTTTCTGGCAGATTGGGAAAGTCTTAGAGGTTCTGAAATCACGAGGCTTTGTTAGAAAGGAAGACAGAATCATCTTGTCAGATTAAGCCTCCTCAAAGTCCGACTGAGTGTATAGGCATTTATCTCCCTCCTCCCAATTCCCAGTTCATTCAACATCCAAACATTCATAGACTCATAGGGCTGGAAGGTACTCAGAGGTCTTCTAGCCCAACCCCCTGTCCAAGGCAGGAAAGGAGACCTTATACCATGCCGGTCAAATCGTTGTTCAATCTTCTCTTAAAAACCTCCAGGGATGGAGCAACCACAACTTTGGGAGGCAAGCTCTTCCACTGACTTAACTGTTGTCACTGCAGGAAATTCCTCTTTATTTCCAGGTTGGATCTCCCTCTGAGGAGCTTCCACTCATCGCTTCTTGTCCTGCAGGGGTGGTATTCTACTAGTTTGGACCTGTTCAGTTGATCCGGTTGTTATGATTCCTGGTATTTCAGAGAACTGGTAAAATGGGCCCCTAGTTGGCCCTGCCTCTCTCCACCCGCTTCTCCGCTCCCTACCTAGTCAGTCCTTATTGCACATGCACGACAAGCTGACTGCATTCTAACCCTGCCCGTCCTGCCCCACCCCGCCCCTCATCTCTGCCATGCGCCATTGCTGCCTGCAGTCTGCCTTTGCCTGCCCGCCGGCCATTGCTGTCTGCCTTCCACCAAGATCTCACTAGGGAAGTGAGGCTTTGCAAGCCCCAGTCACCTACATGCTGCTGCTGCTGCTGCGGCCAGCCCCAGTTGAGTCCAGACTCTTGGATTCTCCGCAGCTGTTTGGCCTTGCCTGCTAGCAGCAGCAGAGAGAGGACCAGGGAGCACAACACTATGCCACCCAGGCCCCCATTGCCCCTTTGCCTGCCACCCCTTC